CAAATTTTGTGCAATTTTAATAGTATTTTAAACTTCTTACATAAATATTTTTTTAATATTAAATAACTTTTAATCTACCAGTCAGTCCGTTTTTAGATGATTTAACCACCACAATGTTCATCTCAATAAAACAATTCTAACATATACAGATCCTAAGATCGTTAAAGATCTGTAACATGTGCTTATCAATAAGTCGGATGGTTTTTATAATACTACAATATAAAAAAACCCATCAGATTTGTTAATAAGCACATATCACAGATTTTAATGATCCTGTACTCGTTAGAATCGTCCATTGAGACGAATATTTTGGTGGTTAAATCATCTAAAACGGACAAGTGAATCAAATATTAAATATTTATATAATAGTTCTAAAAATACTATTAAAATTTAAACGATCTTGGGATCCTGTGATTGGATTTTAACGATTTTAGGCTCGTTAGAATCGTATCATTGAGATGAACATTTTGATGGTTAAATCATCCAAAGAGGACTGGTGGGTTAAAAGTTATCAGCAATTCTAGAAATTAACTATGATCTTTCTTCTGTGAATAACTGGAGAAAGAATAACAATGTGTTTAAAAGAGTCTTACCAATTGCACAAATCTTATCATCTCCAGCCCAAACGCCAGTATTTTTAGTAGTAGATGTGGCAACGCCGTATGCAGCACATGTATCGATAATTACGCGTTCGATGGCTGCAACATAACATCGTACGGAAAGCTTGACATAGGAAGTATTTAGAAAATTAGACACGTTAAAGTGCATATAAGAATAAAAAATATACACACATATAAACATACCTTAAAATTTCTTAAATCTAAAATTGGATAACCAACTAATTGACCAGGTCCATGGAATGTTGTTTGACCGCCGCGTAAAGTCTATGCTTTAAATTAAGTAGCAAGCCAATTAAAACAAAAATTGAGGATTAAAACTGAACTTACTTCAAAATATTGAGCACCTAATTTCTTTAAATAAGTTGCTTCTTCATTCATAGTTTTTCCCACATTTCTTCTTCCGGTTGTATAAGTTGGAGGATGTTGCAGTAGTAAAAGCAAATCTGAAGAATTTTTATTTTCAATTCGACGTCGAACCAGGAGTTTTTGTAATTCAAGTGCCTTCGCATAAGAAACTTGAGAAATGTATGCATAAGGAAGAAGGGGAATAGAAACGTTCGTAAGAGTGTTGCGAAATGTCGAAAAAAATAATGACATACCGATTTTAAATATGTACTGTACGTAGTGATCCAAATCGTTAGTTGAAAAACCAACTAGTTGACTAATCGATTGGATAATTTTTAACCAACTAATTGTTGATTGATTATCTACATAATAAAATTTAAATGTTAAATTTCTTTGCCAATCAAATTGATACAAAAAACATGTGATTATTTATTTGACCAATCAAATTTATCAAAGACATGTGACAATTAGT